AAAAAAAAAAAATCAAACTCCGCTCCTACAATTTCCCCTGGTATTTCTATATTTTCTGTTATATTCCTACATTCCGTCATTTATTTCAAGCATTAATTTTTTTTTCTTTAAAATGAAACAAATAACACACCTCATTTCGGCCAATCAGGTAATGCCTACTTATTCAGCACTCTACATTTTGCCACAAATAAAGCCATTCGATCATCCGGGGATTTTGTACTCTCATTCCTATGTTAGTGGGACTTGGCTTTGTGCGAAACGTACGGGACCTTTATTTGCCTCGGGGTCGATATTGAATCAAAAAACCTCCCATTTGACAAATACGTGCAATTTTAAAATGAACGTCGTAGAATGATTTAACAATCAGATTCAAATGAAAGAAATAAATACAACAAATAGCATTAAAAATTGAAAATCCATTAAACATTACAAAATACATGTAGGAGCGAAGCTAACACGGACATCCAAAATATCGAAGGTGGAATCAGGTGTCATGAAGGAGAGCGCATCCTCTGGTCACCGGTCACACCCGTCGTATGCTTCTTGTCATGATCGGGAAATAACGGAAAATCCGTCGACAATTCAGTGTGTAAATGATAGCCTAAAAATTAGTTTTCAGTATTTGACTCAATAATAACTTGTATTCGCTGACAAGGCCATTGTATAGACCATAGAACTTCGGAAATGCCGACTTTAAATGAGATTGCTGATAATCTTGGTTTATCAACTTGTTTGTTAATAATTAAACTCGTTTTAGAATTTATTCATATGTATAGCCGGCTCTTGCTTATAAAATCAACTGAGAGAAATTAAATCTGTCTGCAGGAGATGAAGGTATTTTGCTGCACAAGTCAGAGAATTTCACGATTGAAAAGTTTAAGTCATTGCGTTTGTCATAGAGCTTGGTTGTTAGATTACCATTAACGTCTTTTTCAAGAAAAATTTCCAAACATGAATCAGATGTGTCAGATTTTGTGGTATCTTTTATCTCTACCTCACTGGGATATTTCTTGTCGAAAAAGAATGGAAAAACTATTGTTCAATTGACAATACGTCGTCGATATATCTAAATGTCGAGTTAAAGTTCACTGCAAGTGTCTTCTTCTTTGTACGTTCACGATTATTGACAAAATCTTTTGATGAAAAATATGGAAATAACGAACAGTGAACATCCCCTGCCGACCTTGTCATGATCATGAATAAGGAAAAAAACCTTCGTCAATTCAGTGTGTAAATAATGTACTAACAATTAGTAAGAAACGTCCCTCGGCAATTGATTCAATGATTAATTGTTTACATGTTATTGTATCGACATAGAACTAACAAAATTATCACTCTTAACGAGACTACTGATATTCTTGCTTTATATAGATACAAAAATAGGTCCAATAACATTGGGGTACAATAAGTACCAATGGAAATGTCAAAAAATGGAAAACATAGTCTCCAAAAATCAAAAAAAGTGAGGAATAAAGAAAGACGTTTGGTTAAACACATTTACTGGAACCCGCTACGTATTTTTTAAAGACTTTTTATGAAGTTTCGGATTCCAATATAGATATTGTAATTCAAATTTATTTTGGTTGTTTGGAATTGTTAAAAAAAATATTAACAGTTGACATATGATTTCGCAAAATTTCAGCGGTAGCTATGAGTACAATTTTGATTACCAATTATAGAATTTAAACCAAATTCTTCTTAAATACATTTTATACGATGCCTTAAAAAAAAGAAACATATTCAAACAAACATAGACAATGTTGTAACCTGCTTTGTCCACAGGGACTAGTAAGTATTGATCATACATTATAACAATTTTTACTTCAATCTTGATTACTGAATACAGAAGGATAGACGGTTTTCATATTGTTCAATTCTTTAATACGCAATTTTAACATGAATCTGGTACATGTACATTTAATCCATTCTGACAAAGTGTCAACGTCTTCTTTTTCATATCTTGCCCATCGCCTTGCGTAATCTTCAACAGAATCGATAATATTTATGAAATTCTGACGCCATCTGAAGGATCGGGTTCCCTATATTTAGGACCCTTTAAAATAAAATAAGTGATCTAAGGTCCTCAAAATTAATTATATTTACGTCACCTGTAAAAACGTGTCCAGCGGGACTATAGTTATAGGGTGAAGAACATGACTACGATGGAGGATTATGTTTCAGATACATTGTATCCAGGTCATGTAAAGTTTTTGTGTAATTAAACAGCTTTGAAGCAATGGAAAATGTTAATTGTGGGAAATATAAGGATAAGGTGTAGTCTTTAACCTGAAATATGGTGGAATACAAGACTGAACCTATTTGTGATTACGAATATTACTTACATTAACCAAGTCAATTTCTTTATTGGCATATTAAAGTTTAGGGAAAAGATGGATTGTTTCAGCTGCATTTTTTAAAATTCAAATTTAAATGTAAGTTGATCGTTTTCTCAAATATTACTCTGATAATTCCTACAAACTTATAGAATTATCTACGGAAGAAAAAAAAACTCCTTAATTGATATATTATGGCTTAAAATTAAAACAACACTATTATACCACTAATTCCATAATCGAATTAATAATTTATTTTAATATACAACATTTAACACCATTAAGGAAATCCAAGCAAAATATATATTTATTTTTTTTTAAAAATCATATCTTGATTCTATCTGTCTTTTTTCAAGACATTTCTCTCTTTTAAATGCAGACATACCTAAAAATCAATTTTTGATTAATAATTGCCCATTCAAATATTAACTCATCGAATGAACATTTGAATATTCCTTGACATCCTTAAATTTAAAAGATTAGAAGCAGCAGTCGATGTATATTTCTAGGAAATACAACATGTAGTCTTTAACTTGAAATATTGTATTGTCAAATACAAGACTGATCCCATTTGTAATAAAGAATATAACTTATACTAATAGCGTCAGTTTCTTTGGTTACATGTTGAAGTTTAAGGAAAAATCGGATTTTCCTAACTACATTTTTCTTCAAAACGTAGCAGTTTGAAAAGCCTATGAGTTTCAATATCCATAAACACATATCCGAGCTTAAGAAATAGGAGGCTCATGGGCCCCTACCAGTTGAGCTAAAACTGAATACATCAGCTGAATGATCAAAAATATTTAAATAGTAATTATGATAATGAATATACGCACTATAAAATGGGTATGTAATAAATGAATATTCTGAAACATTGTTGAAATACATTTCGTATTTGCCCTTTAAGGTTAAGATCTATTAAATGATTTGTAGGTAAACAAGGTGAAAAAAATGTATTTTAAACTGTCATTTTCAATGAAAAATTAAGAAACCCAGCCATGAATATGGGAGTTTTTGTCATATTCGACAAAGGAGATGTATCCAGATTGCCTACAGTCTCTCAGAAAACAGTAATTAGTATGTTCATTGCCTCTTCTTTAAATCAATATCAAATTTAATATATCAAATGTAATATATGATTTCAAATTGAATGTGATGAAAATACTCAATTTTCTACATAATTCTTCTAATGCCGTAAAATACGGGAAAAAGAAAGTTGAGATTGATTATGACGTCATAATTCATCAAGCACCAAAAAATTAGTCTAAAGTTATTTACTAGATCTTGACCTTAAACCATGATTTTTTAAATTTATTTTTTATAACATTGTACTCGACATATTTTGAAAGAAAGTCAAAATTGAAAGAAAAAAACTTTATATTCTAAAATGGTAAAAACATATTGAAAGGGAAAACAAGGAAAAAACTTGGGATAAAATCAAACATGCTTTCAGTTTAGTACATACCGTAGTTTTATAACAAGTATTGTCTATTTGATTGAACTGATGATTACAAACAAGAAAACTAAACAATAAAAAAAACAAGATGGGATACATCGTTCACCTGAGCATTGTGGCTAGGGAAAAAACCGAAATCAGTTTATTATTCATAATTGAAAAGTTTAAACCTAAAAGTGGTCCCAATCAATCCTTAAAGGGGGGGATGATTTGAATAAACTTAAATCAACACTAAGGATGCTTGCATATTTCTTGACTATCCATGGCTTTATTACCTTTAACATTTGAACTTACGGTGGCTATCCAGCCCCCCCCCCCCCTGCCCCCCCCCCCTACAAACCAAACTTAATTATGACAAATCATTGCTATATTGTCCTTTTCTTCTTTATTTCTGTATAAAACTTTGATTGTTCATTGTGGTCCCATCCTCTCCCGGGGAATTTGTAATTTGATCAACTTGAATCTACATTACCTGAGAATTCTTCCATATAAAAGCACGAATCATGGCTTGTTGTTCTAGAGAAGAAGATTTAAAAGAATTTTTCTATGTATTTCTTTGTAAAATTTTGATGGGCCATTGTGGCCACACCTTACCCCCAGGATCATGATTTGAACATACTTGAATCTACACTACCTGAGGATTCTTCCACATAAATATGATCAATCGTGGCTTTGTTGTTTTTGAGAAGATTTTTAAAGAATAATCCTATATATTTCAATGTAAAATTTTGATCGGCCATAATGGCCCCGCCCTACCCCTGGGGGTCATGTATTGAACAAATTTGAATGTTTCCATATAAATATGATCAATCATGGTTTTGCTATTCTTGAGAAGATTTTCAAAGAATTTTCCTATTTATTTAAATGTGAAACTTTGGTCCGCAATTGTGGCCCAACCCTTCTTCCAGGGGTCATGATTTGAACAATCTTGAATCTACGCAACCTGAGGATGCTTTCATTTGAACAAACAAACTTAAATCCCCTTCACGCAGGGATGCTTTGTGGCAAGTTAGGTTGAAGATGGCCCTGTGGTTCTGGAGGAGAAGCTGAAAATGTGAAAAGTTTACAGACAGACGGACGCCGGAAAAAAAATGATCAGAAAAACTCATTTGAGCTTTCAGCTCAGGTGAACTAAAACAGTATTAAAAGAAAACAAAATCCACAAAATCCTAAGGCGAAAAATAAACAAACACAAGAAAACCGAAAAAAAAATATAATGAAATGTGACACCTAGTACTAAGGAAAATATCAAGAGGATATAACATAAATAACAAGTATTATGGCAAATAAGGAGACATTTGAATACTAAGGTTTGTATTTTTAACAGGTCTAATAAACAAACTTCGTATGCACTAACAGTATATACATCGGGAATTTAGTCTAAAAACATATACCAATCAATGACTCCATTGTTTTGTAAATAACGTCAGTCTTTTTTATATTATAACAACTCTTTCTGACTTTGATTTTAACTTATCTCTAAATTCAAACTCATTAAAAGAACATCCCATACTTTTTGAATTATGCATGGATTATGTAATGTATTATATGAATACTTCTATCGCCCTCTGAGAACATCCCCTGGGTCATGATAGGGGTCTTAACATCACTGTTCCCGTCACTTGCCCAGGGATCTCCCCGCCATAATGTACTGTATAATCTGACGTTCACGAATACGCTTCAATTCCTTTCGAACCTTATCATTATGTTTACCAGACTCTGAAAATTAAGAATTATTTATCAATGGAAAAGAAATCCACACACTTGTAATTTTTTTAAGATTTTAGAATTTAATTAATCAGCCATCAGTATTAGGAGATATAAATCAAAGCAATCTTCACGCTTGTAAATGATTGAGATATTAATTGAATTAATCATTATAAAACAAGATTGATTTAGATTCTTCTGAGCTTACTTGCTCGCATGGCTAGGCAACAGCAAATGAGGAAGTGAAGGTTTGCAAACAACCGGTGTCTGAAGTCCTGAATCACGTGATACCGCTCATATTGCCATATTAGGGCCGATTTCTCATGAACTTTTTCATACTTTGTTCTGGTTGTGAGATGTAAATTGAATATTAGTTCATACGTTGTTGAAAATTTTTAACTTTTCTGACTAAACAAGTCATTTCTTAAACATAAGTGTATGTGTATAAATAATCAATATATGAAAATTCGGTGTTGGAAATGGAAAACTAGATTCGAGGGATACGGATTTATGGGTCTCTTAACCTTAAACCTTTCTGTGTTAAAAATTGTACGCTATGGAGGATGTTTTTTTTTTTTTGTTTCTGAGCTGTGTTTATTTTAAAACTTTAGTATATTGACAACTCATCGGAATACTCACGTAAATAGGGCGATTATCAAGTTGACGATAAGGAGATTGCCCACCATTATATGTATTGCCACTACAGCTTTCACACTCCAGTCCACTTCTGACAATTATAAAAGATCGTAAAATATTAAGGTTGTCCGATCCTCAGGTTTATAAATTAAATTAACCTGAGGATCGGACTTCCTTAATATTTTAATAAGAGATTAAAGAATACAGAGTTTTTGTTAAGCACATTGACTCTTCATTTCGCATTTAACTCGAGTATATTTGAGCCTAATATAATGATTGTTTGATTGATTGTACATTTTTTAACGTCCCATACGAAATTTTTTCTATGTATGTAGACGTCATGATATACCGGTGAAGGGCTTTAAATTTAGAATCAGGGCTATTGAGTAGTGATTGGGTTTTTTATCGCGTCAACGCTTACCGTCCACGGGACCTACATGTACGTTTTAAAGGTAATGTCCGAAAGTTTAATCTATTTTTAAAAATTCATACACGTTTGGTAAAATTCTTTCTTAGCCCCTAATAAATCCTTACAATGTAATCAGCTGAATTTATGAGTAAACGCTTAGTCGAAAGTTCATCAAATTATACATAAAGAGTATGGGCGCATTTGGCGTGTGATCTGCAGGAATCATTTGTACGAAACATTTATGGTTTAAATTTCCATGATTTGGTTGGCTAGTTACATAGCTGGTCAGACTTTGCAAACAATTCCAAAGGTTTTTTTTCATTTAGTTTGAAAGACCTTGTGAGATTGAAACATTTAAGTCTGTTTTTCCTAGGGGGTACTAAAACATGGTAATGTTTCAAAAAATTAACACCCAAAATATTTAATGCATGTACAATTGATACGTGTACATGTCACAGTACATTATAGACTAGAAGATCGGAATTGATTTCGCTCGAGAACCAAACTGAACCAAAATTTATATAAATCAAAATTTAAAAACATCAGCAGATGAAACGAAACTGACAAAATAAATGGTTTTTTACATGAAAAACAAGATGTGTTTGTAAAACACTGATGCCCCCGTATGGCAACATATCAAAGATTAAGCTTTTCTTAAATGCAAATTTAATTAATTGGTACCAAAAGTAGGGTATTCTCACTGGAAAACAATTGTGAAATTTAAAAGTAAGCTAATGTTTAAGTTTTTTATTAAGTACAAAAATCTCCAAGGTCAAGGTCAAAAGGTCAATGTAATTAGTATCAAATGAAAGGTCTTGCCAAATAAAATACTTATATAGAGCATGAAAGCCCTAGCCCTAACCGTTCAGAAGTTATGGTCAACGTTCAATTTCTTAAAAAGTAGGTCAGACTCCAAGGTCAAGGTCAAAGGGTCAAAGTTATTGTTATCAAATGAAAGGGTTTGTCATAAGGATTAAATATGTAAAGTATGAAAGCACAAGCAATAACTCTTTAAAAGTTATGGTCAAGGTTTGCTTTTTTTAAAGTAGGTCAATCTCAAAGGTCAAGGTTAAAGGGTCAAAGTTCTTGGTATCTAATGAAGGGTCTTCTCACAAGGATTACATATATGAGGTATGAAAGCCCTATCCCTTACCGTTCAAAAGTTATGGCCAAGGTTAAAGTTTTTTCACAAGTACGGAAATCTACAAGGTCAAGGTCAAAGGGTCAAGGTTGTTGGTATCCAGTGAAAGGTCTTTTAACAAACACATTACATATGTGAAGTATTATTGTCCTGGTATCTACTGTTCAAAAGATATGGCCAAAGTAAATTTTTAAAATTTTCATGTAAAAGTGGGTCAAACTCCAAGATCAAGGTCAAAGGGTCAAAGTTAATGTTATCAAATTAAAGGTCTTGTCATAAGGATAAAATATGTAAAGTATGAAAGCACTAGCTTTAATCTTTAAAAGTTATGGTCAAAGTTTGTTTTTTTAAAGTAGGTCAATCTCAAAGGTCAAGGTCAAAGTTCTTGGTATCTAATGAAGGGTCTTTTCACATGGATTACATATATGAAGTATGAAAGCCCTATCCCTTACCGTTCAAAAGTTATGGCTAAGGTTAAAGTTTTTTCACAAGTATAGAAATCAACAAGGTCAAGGTCAAAGGGTCAAGGTTGTTGGTATCCTGTGAAAGATCTTTTAACAAACATTACATATGTGAAGTATAAATGTTCCGATGCCTACTGTTCAAAAGATATGGCCAAAATAAAATTTTAAAATTTTCAAGTTAAAGTGGGTCAAACTCCAAGGTCAAGGTCAAAAGGTCAAATTTGGTGGTACCCTAAGAAAGGTCTTGTCACAAGGAATACACATATGAAATATGACAGTCATAGCTCCACTAAATCAAAAGTTATGGGCAAGGTTAAAGTTTTTGCGGACAAACAGACAAACAGAGAGACAGACAGACAGAGAGACAGAGAGACAGACAGAGAGACAGACAGACAGACGGACACGACAAAAACTATATTCCTCCGAAACTTCGTTTACGGGGGCATAAAAATTACGCCCCATTCCAGGCTCGAACCAAAAACTTTTCGCATCAAATGCACTGAACAGGTTATCCAACTTACTGAGCTGTCACCGCTACACATTTACCGAAGACTTTAAAAGGACAAAGAAGCACCGCATTCACACATTTGGATTTTTGGGGGAAAAGTTCATTTTTCGTGGTCTCTGGGTCTTCTCTCCATTTTTAAAAATGTGTATTTGTTTCTTTGAATTAGAATACACACAAATAACTTTTCAAAATCATGGAGAGAAGACCCAGAGATAAAAAAGTTTTAGAAAAACGTGTTTCAAAATGTGATGATGGGTGGTGTTGTTCTTGTTTTTATTTTTCTTTACATTATGTACTTGAATACTATTAGACTGATTGTGTTTCGAACCCACCTGATAGATTTAGCATTAGTCTTTGCTTATATTTTTCTGTTTAAAGTAAGTCTAGCACCCCATCCAAAATTACAGTTTTTACATTTTTTACGACTAATTAAGGTAAATCTAACGCTTATTCAAAAGGTTAGGTTAGTCGTTGGATTTAATATTTATTTGTATTTAAATCAATCAGACCTTTACATGGCGCGGCGTTGTATTTTTGCACAGTAGTACTATGACGTCATGCATAAACGTTAATTATTGAGTTTCATCGCACTTTGGAGTGTTACATATATACCAGAAAAGAACGATCAGCTTGAATTACCATCGTTGCTTTTCTTTATGCCAAAGTCACCATCAAATACTTCTCCGTAGTACTGGTAGTAGGGGTAGTATATGATCCTCCAGATCCGCCACTCGTACCACACTCCCGGGAACAGTTCAAGCTGATTCTCCTGATGGACGATGGCCTCAATGAAAACCCCTACTCCCAGCACAAAGAAGGCTATCGTAAATAGGAACTGCACCAGATGTAGGAGCTGAAAATATAGATACATGTTGGTGTATATTGATAATTTGGCTGCTGGACATTTCACTAATGCCTTTTATGCATTCGAAAATAGTCCTACACTTTCAAAGTAACAGTTTAATTTTCTGGACGACAAACTGATTTTCTTCCTGTCTTGTTAATCTTCGGTCAGTTTCTTTTATTCATTGCTTTTGATCCTCATTTTATTGAAAGAATATTTTATTTTATATATATTTCATCAGTCAACAAGTAATACATATGCAGATTAATACTTTTTGTCCATGAACTACAATGTAATAAGAGATCAAGAGTTTACATGCAGATTTGGTCGATCACAGTTTTTTTTATCCCTTATCTTCTTTATTCTCTCTAACAATGATAATGATGCAAATACAGATATTGCTTTTTATCTCATACGTGATGGAAATACAGCTCATTAGATAAACGCAGTACAGTTAAGGTGCGCAATGGAAATATCGACTAAATTATGTATTTAAAAATGTATTCGTAATCGGGATGGCGATTATTTTTAGTACATCATTTATATCGGATAATTGTGATTATTATTAATAACTACATATCAAGGACGATTATATTTTATATTTAGACTAGTCACGTGATTCGGCAGTCACGCGATTTTAGCATATTGACTTGAAGTATTGATGTTACATTTAAATATTATATAACTTTGTGAAATCCGGTAATCTGATTGGTCAATACGAAGTACTTATTTTTTGATAACGACCGCTGAAAGCGAATAATGACTCGCACGAGCTGCCTCGTTTTCACTTTCGCTTTAGACAAACATGGAAGTTCGCAAGTTGTAGGTGAGGAAAATTTAAAACATATAGTGAAGAACTCTGAGACTGATAATACAAAACAATTACTAGGATATTCGTGAATATTTTTCGGGAATAATTAGCATATACCATTTCATGTTGATTCGATTCAGCCAGCAGAGTTTTGACGCTGTTTGTAAACGCGATTACGGAGACTAAAGAAAATATAGACAAGCATACCATGTTAGATTGTATTTATTCTTAAAAGACATAGGTATTTATATTTTGTCAGTGCATTTCGTCTGAGACTGATAATACAAAACAATTACTAGGATATTAGTGAATATTTTTCGGGAATAATTAGCACATGTACCATTTCATGGTTGAATTCTACCTAAGTACCTTTCCACTCAGCCAGCAGAGTTTTGACGCTGTTTGTAAACGCGATTACGGAGACTAAAGAAAATATAGACAAGCATACCATGTAAGATTGTATTTATTCTTAGAAGACATAGGTATTTATATTTTGTCAGTGCATTTCGTCTGCAAGTGTAAATGAGAGGGATTCTCAGTCTGGGGGAGGGGGTACTCTGTGTTATTCGGAGACAGATATCTTGCGTCATTTTTATGATATTGGAAATTTATTGCCAAAACAATTTCCTCTAAGTAATATTCAATGAATTCTGAAACATTTACATTCAACTTATTTATGGTTAATACTATCTCTGTAAATAATAGGATGATATACATTGCACTAATAAATTTGGGAAATTATTATTTATATAATATAATAAATATGGACTCAATGCACGGTCAATATGCATTTATAATGACCCAGAATGACAGATATTGACCTCAGATACATGAAGTATATCGACCTCGGGCTAGCGCCCTCGGTCGATATACTACATGTAACTTCGGTCAGTATCTGTCATCCTGGGTCATTATAAATGCATATTGACCTACATTGAGTCCATATTTGTATAATATCACTAGTGCAAGGGCATAATCAAGTTAAATTTCCAAGTTAAGTATATAAATATTTTCAACACGCATTGTAGTTTCTGAAAAGTGCTGCGATCCTGTCTAAATTCTGCAATTTCATTGTTAAAATTATACTTGTATGACCAAATGCTATATTTTTTGCTGGTCAGCGGCATGAAATATTGATATAATTAAATTGTTTTTAAGATTTCACCAGGATCGCAGCACTTTTCAGATACCTTAATAGTTCTATAGTTGAAATGTAAAAGCTTACTTTGATACATAGAGTGTATGCCCTTGCACTAGATCGATTTATTAAGACCCCCCACATTAACCTCCGATGTCCTTGCATACAAATATACGGTAGTGTCAATTAAATAGGTAATGTACAGAACATAAATTAATAAAATAGTGAAGAAGACATTAAATTCAAGTTATTGGCCCATAGAAAATCTGTAAATAATATTTTATTTAATTAGAGAATACATATTTTGTTGATAAAAAATTACTTGATCTGCTCTCACTGCATAAAAACTACGTCACGTTGTAAGAAATGACGTCATATTGACAAGTGTATTGCGATCAGTGACTTGTTTATAACTTGTTATGTGGGATTTAACAAACAACAAAACAACACGCTATAGTAAGTTTTTATGTAGTTTGATGATTTCTTACTGGGTAAATTAGCAGATAAACTAATTTTGTGGTATTTTAAAGAAATGTTGTATGACGTATATTGTGTATGATGTCATAGTCAAGTTTTCCCGTACAAATTAGGCTCCGCCTCCTTTTTGTAACCTTTTAAACTGTGCTGCGAACTTATGTTTTATCCATGGGTAGATGCTTTATCAATAGCACTTCCGGTTTTGACATGATCCCTCGCTTCAAGATTTTATTTTGTTGAAGAAAATTATTGCCCTAATACATTGAATGATAAAGAGCGATAATATCGTTAGGAGCAAGAAGAAGACTCGTATATGACAAAAATGTGTCTTATTTTATCAAGGAACCTGTATTGGCTACATGAAAACAAATGTTACCCCCCCCCCCCCCCTTTAAAATGTTTGGAGAAAGTAAAGCCTAGCAGTTGAGTAGTTTTTATTAGATTCATTTAACATCTTAAATAATGCTTTCTTATATTATACTACATATGCCTACCTAGTCATGTAGGTATAACTTACCATGGATCATCAATGAATCTATAAGTAGGCCCCTAGCCTTGACTTACATGTTTTGAACTGCGATCGTCCAAAGAGTTCATTTTCACTACCCTATTGGTCCTTTCAACTTTCAGTCAGAATTTCGATAGATATAAAGCACCAGCAACTGTCATATAATCTTTTCAAAGACGTAGATAGCAAAAATTCTAGATTTTGAACATTATCTATTTTTTTTCGAGGCATGTCAACATCAACGGTGCTACGTCATCAAGTTTTACGTCATCAATTATAATTAGCAATTATTCATAAAGTTTCGCAGGGAGAGTCTCAAAATTTGTTAAAACAAAAGTCGTATGAGATAAATAGAACATCTATTATTGTGTGATTTAATATTGGATTTATCCAACTCGTTGAAATGGTGTGTATTCGCTCGGCAAGCCTCGCAAATATATGCACCATTTCAACTCTCTGGATAAGCCAATATCAAATCACACAATATAGATATCCTCTATATATATTAAGACACATAATGCAATATTACAAACCATGTGTTTTAGGAAGATGAATGTTATTCCTGTCAGTTGATAAATTACAAAAATACGCATGTACCGAAGAAACGAGAAAAGCAGTAGAAGGGCACAAAAGCGAGTAGCCATTTTAAAAGTCTCCGTTGGTTTCAGTCGGGAGAAAACGGTAGCGACAGTAAGAAGGACACACACGAGTCCCAGGACCTTCCACATATCATTTAATCTAGAGAGAAATTTATATCCTGCTTTTCTCTTTGTGTCCACGGATGTACAGGAACAGTTTGCCCTTGTTGGCATCACGCCCTGAAATAGGAAAGTTATTATTTATTCCGTTATGTTGTACATGCAAGATTCTCGAGTGTTCCCTGTGCAATAAGCACAAAATTTATACTGGAAAAAAAACTTGTCTAAAGAGACTGATTAAAAAAATCTTATTTTTGTTACATGTAAAACATTTTTTTTTCATTTTACACATTATCTTTGTGTAACTTCTTATCATTTGTGGGATAATACCAAAACAACTTTTCGATATAAATGAATATAATAAGTTCAAAAACGGAGAGGCATCAAAGGTGTGAACCTGGGCATGCTCTGTTCACCTGACACATCTGTTGTATTCTGTTATCAATGATTTGGCAAAACGGAAATGTATGAGGAGAGAACAGAAATAAAAACTAATTACAAAGCAAATAGACATTCGTTAAACAAAGATACCACAACGGAGGCTATATCATTGAGGAAGTCTAGGCACGTCCAGCCGTAGAGGGCGAACTCACACACCAGTAAAAGTAATGGCGTCTTGTCGTATGTCTTCAATGGAGTCAACACAGCGTAACCGTACATGAGAAGGATGAAACCAAAGAAAATCTAGATAAAATAAAATTATGACTTTCAAAAGTACACCAGATAGAGTGATTGTGTGACACAGAGGTCCATAATTACATCGGTTTTTCAAATCTATGAAATATATGGAAAATTAATGCACGGTATTGAAACATCCATTCAAACAATACAGATTTAAACACGGATATAAAAATTTTAAGAGTTTCGATTTAAATGCTATGTTTAGGTAATTGCTTAATACATCTAATTTGTGTTTTTCTTTCTTTTTCTAACTCTCTATTTTTGCATTGTTCTCAAGAAGGGACATAAATGGCTTGCCGAAATTTTTCGACAGTTTCTTCATTTTTGACAATCGTCCTCCCTTTAAATGATTGTTTGTAGTGTATTTTTTTGTGAAATTTTGTCCATTCAAATGGATAAGGTTAATTGTTATTTTTTTATCATCCTTTTTTTCCCGTTCATACAGCCTGATCATTACGATTCATTATTTAAAGACAATTTCCGAGAAAAGAGTTATTGAAATTATCTTAGAAGACATAAACATTATCTAAAATATATTTTCGGGTTAACATAGGAATCTATTCGGATAATTGGAGGTAATGTTATGAATAAAGAGGTCGTTTGACTTTTAGTGCTGCTTTATTCCTTAAAAATAACTTGTATCTTGGAATTACTTACGTAATGTAGAACAAAATGGAAGAAAGGTGCACGCACGGCCTCCCGATATTGTTTCTATAAAACAAGCATCAATTCTGTCATCAGCTACACATACTTGAAATATACGGATAGCATCATCAAATACTGTGAAATTGCTAATTTTCGTGGGGAATTAATTTGCGATGTTTTCGACGTATGGAGAGATGCTCGAATTTATGACCCTCTCGAAATTTAAAGTTTCATTTGCATTACTATAAAGCATTTCTCCAAACAGGTTATCAAATCTCGACAAACCAGTATTCCTTTCTCAAATATCTCAAATATTGATTCCACAAAAATATGTGAATTTACAATACTAGCATCAGTAACATTTCGTTAATATTCCGATAGTATCATCCTTATTATTTAGGGTAATGTCCAATAGCTTGATAATTTATTTAATCAAATTCAAATTACTCAAAAGTTTTTCAATGTGAAAGACAACTAATATTGCACACATAGAAACAGCTTGTAAATTACATCAGCAGGGGACTCTTGTATTGATATTTTTCTTCAAATACATGATAACATAAAAACTATATATTTTTTACCAAGAAATCTGTGCAAAATCTTGTTCCACTTGGAATAAGACCATTAAACCATATCTTGTTCATAAGACCAACAGAGCAAGGGTGGGCAATAATATCGTACATCTTCGATTCATAAACAAACGATAGAGGTTTGGCTTCAATAGTCCATACAACGTCTACTTCGTCCAAAATTTCAAACGCTAGAGTCTCATCTGTCTGATAAAGGTTGTCCATCATGCTTAAAATCCGGCCTCTTAAATCTCTGCCGATTAGTAAAAAGCAAATAGTTTGGTTTTTAATATTGAAAAAAAAAAATTATTATAAACATGCTAGATAAAGTTCAAGCCCTAATACGATTTTTCTCATGTGGTTAAAACTACACTTCAATGTAAATTTCAATTTCAAGACAATGTCGTTATTTTGAAAGTTATAACGCCACAATTAGTTTTAAATTGAAAAGCTGAACCTTGGTTTGTAAAACATAAGATATGCATGATCAACATGTACACTGTACATTCACTCCCTTACTTTGCTTGTTCCTTCAGCTTCATTGCTAACTTCTCGTCTTTCAATTTGGCTATGGAGGACATCTTTTTTAAGATTAATGCACTTACAAGTCCGGTATCTAAATACAAAAATAACCCATTTTTCATTTTTTAGAAGATCCAGACCTCTGAATTCTAATCATTAAGTACAAATAGAACATATAACCAAAATATGTATCTATATACAAACATGTATTACTAATTTGCCATATGAAGAGATTTCAAAAAAAAAGCCAAAGAAAATGGCAAACTAAAAAGAAAACAAGCATAACATACAAAGCTGACTTTTGACCCTTCGCCAGACCAGGGTAGCGATGTCCGTTCTATGGGTCAACAGTGACCACAGCAGAACAGCCTGAAGGAAGTCTTGTCGGTTTACGTATTCCCTCATTCTCTTAGACTTATAGATTGAAGATGAGTGGACATCAATTTCTGTTTCTGTTTTTTTTTTTTTTTTTTGGAAAAAGAAAAAAAAACATCTTTTGTAATAATACTTATTCTAAAAGTTGTCTTGATTAGCCTTCGAGTCTAAATAAAACACCTGGGTCGTCAAGTATTTTTTAATGTTCATAATTACTGTAAGTCGTTTTAATTCTACAAATCCCCGATTTCTTAAAAAGTACCAGTCGCGATGGTTTTATTTCCACGCTGCAAGAGCTTCATTTTAATTTTATATACGCCTTTTAACATTTTTAAAACAAATGACAGCATTGACAATGGGTTTAATTTCGCGGGAAAATGGCGAATCGCGAACATAGTGAATTTAAATCCATAGGGATTTTTTTGCAAATTTAACGTATTTAGCTTAATTTAACTTAATTTCTTCAATAAGGAAAATAAACAAAAAAAAATCTATGATATTTTTCTATGATATTTTTTTACAGTGTTACATAACTTAGTTCAAACATAGGATGTGAATTGTATTTTTTTAAAAAAAGACAATGGTTTTCGTAATGTAGGTAAAGACTTGAAGTAAAGCAAATAACAGTTTCCATAAAGAAGCTTATAAACGTACTTTTGTAATTAAGTAGGCGTTTACACATCTTCTGAGCTACTTCATGGCAGTCCTTCTCACCTTCAAAAAGATGCTTTGCCAGCTTATGCTTCCCTCCCATTTCCTACAATATACATTCATATCAAATAAAAAAAAACTGATATCTAATAAAAAAAAAAATCAATTCTTACTTGTAAAACAATTGTATTCCATAAATATCAGTAATAATCTCTTAATATTTATACGGGTTTTAAAAGTCTTCATGTACATGTAAAAATATAATCAGTGAAAGAAAGTCATCATTTAGGATTTTGAATAAAATACAATGATCACATCCAAAGGCAATCGAAATACATATGATATTCTGCATTTAGTATATTTATGACATTGAAATCTCAAATATAATTCTATTCATAACAAAAGTTTCATTTACCATCAAAACCCAGCGCATTCCCGATGAGTCATTTTTCTCTGTACCATCCACTGGTAATGCACACTGTTACAAAGAAATGCACACTGTTATAAAGAAATGCACACTGTTATAAAGTAATACACACTGTTATAAAGTAATGCACACTGTAATAAAGTAATGAACATCTGTTATAAAGAAATGCACACTGTTACAAAGAACTGCACATCTGTTATAAAGTAATGCACATTGTTATAAAGTAATGTACATCTATTACAAAGAGTGATAATGCAAACTGTTAAAAAAAGTAGAATTGGTACCAACCATTAGTAATGCAAACAGTTATAAAAATGTACATCTGATGCAACAATTGGTAATGCAAACTGTTATTAAGAAATGTACATCTGTTTTAAATTTTTAACTACTTTGAAAAGAAAAATATTTTTAGAAATCTTTTTTTTCATATCGACATTTCAGCATTCCTCGAGACATAAATCGGATATGACCTTAAACTAAAAACAGACATAATATTTTCACAGGAGTAAAATCCAATGGTGAGCCATTCTGGAAACATTATGTACACACCTTCGAAGGACTTCTCTGAAGTAAAATTTATTTTTAGAAAAAGATTTTTTGCAAAAAAGGTCCAAATACAGGACACCGGGTTAATCTACCATAACTTAACATTGCAGCTGCAAATAAGCATAGAGAAATAAACAAGAGGCTCATGGGCCACATAGCTCACCTGAGCAATGTGGTTATGAAAAAGCAGAAATCAGTTTATTATTGAAAAGTTTAAACCCAATAGTGGTCCCAACCGTTCCTTAAAAGGAAGAGGGTTTGCTTTGAACAAACTCGATTCTACACGAACTTAGGATGCTTGCATATTTATTAGACTACCTGTGGCTTAATTGCCCTTTACCTTTGAATTTACATTGTGGCCCTGCCCTACCCCAGGGGTCATGACTTGAACAAAATTGAATCTACACTACCTGACGATGCTTCCATATGAATAAGACTAATCATGGCCTTATTATTCTTAAAAAATATATTTTTGAAAATTTTATCAACAAGTTTCTAGGTTTAAACATAGATTCCATGCTGTGGCCTCGCACTACTCCCAGGGATGGTGATTTATTCAAGATGAAATGTCCACTACCTGAGAATGCTTCTATAAAATTATGATAATTCATAACTTTGCTATTCTTGAGATGAAGATGTTGATACAACATTTCATTGATCAGCACTTGAATCTCCATTTGAAGCACTGAAATAAAGTAGAGAGTTAGAGCTTTCATTTCCTTTTAAAAATTTTCTCCTAAGAGTCCAGATCGTGGAGAACTGACTTTATAAAATTGCAATGTTCTTAAATATTAAGGTAAACAGGTATAATTGAGTATTTTCAGTGAAGATTAATAATACTTGTTTGAGCGCACTCTATGATCTAAAAAACGAAAGATGTTTTTAGTTCTCAGAAACAGTTCTATCATTTTCTAGTTGCAACTAGATAAGAGGGTGCGCTCTATATAAATTATTGAAAAAAAGCTTTAAGAATTCGCTGTTTTCGTACACTTTTTCAGAATATGCGGAAATTCACGCAATTCGTGACGTCATAATGCATTGAATAACCAGAAAATTGTGTCATTATTTTTAGATACGCAGTCACCAAAGACCTTCAGTTAGTGATATTCTATGCATTGCTAACTAAAACTATGGAGTTTCATTTTTTTTCAGAAATACACAGGGCCACATAAGGCAAAAGTGAACCTTGTTCTTTTGATAGGCCATTGAGGCCCTTTTCTAATCCCAGGGGTAATAATTTTTTTAAAAATTAAATCTCCACTATCTGAGGATGCTTCTATAAAAATATCATCATTCATGCTTTTGCTATTCTTGAGAAGAAGATTTTTAAAGAATTTTCTAATCAATTTCTATGTAAAACCCAAGGGGTTTTGAACAAACCTGAATCAACACTACCCGAGGATGCCTCCATAAAAAAATCATCACAATGTCTTTGTAATTCTTGAGAAGAAGATTTTTAAAGAATTTCCCTTTATATTTCGATTTAAAATTTTGATTGGCCATTGTGGCCCGGCCTTACCCCGGTGGACATTATTTTAACAAAACTGAATTTACACTACTTTGTCTTGAGGATGACTCCATATAAAATGATAATTCATAACTTTTCTATTCTTGAGAAGAAGATTTTTAACCACCTTCCCCGCAGTCACGCATTTTAACGCATATAGCATTTTCTATTTCTAACGCAAAATCACGCATATACCGTTTCCCCGCAGTCACGCATTTTCACGCACTTTAAAAAGTTCATTTAATCTTAAATTTAATGCCAATTTCCTTCTATTTTATACTTGTAAAATTCTCATCAAATACGAAATGCTATATTTGTATCAAAATATTACGTCATGATATTATTTACGCTAAACTTTAGAGAAACGTGTACCTCGCTATAAGATGCTTGCGGGGAAATGGTAAATATCCATTTCTATGACGTGAACATTAAGTGTTTGTTGCATAACAGTTCGGCAAGTTGTAAAGAGTTAAACAATTTGCCTATATATTTTTAATGTAAAACTTTGATCTGCCATTGTGGCCCTATCCCTGGGGGTCATGATTTGAACAAACCTGAATCTACACTACTCGAGGATGCTTCCCTATAAGTTTCATTTTTCCTGGCACAGTAGTGGTTCTTGAGAAGAAGACTTTGAAAAACATTCCGTTCAATGTTTGCTTTTTCTGAATTATCGCCCCTTAAATAAGGGCGTGGCCCTTCATTTGAATAAATTTGAATCCCCTTCACATAAGGATACTTTCTATGGAAGAAGTAGAAAATGTGAAAAGTTAACGACAACAACAACGACGACGACAGACAGGTAACCTAAAATAAATTGAAGAAAAGAAAGTAAACAGAGTGTTCCATCTCCCTATTTGCTAGATCTCAGCCATCGTATGAAAACAACCAAAAAAATTGATATCAATCAAAAGGATTGGAAGCAAATTCTATATAACTGAGTGAACTTTAAAGAAGATTCCCAATATCAGATATATCATGGGAAGAGAATTTTTCCCTCATCAGGTTTTACAAAAGAACTTACGCCTCTGACACAGACATTTAATTCTGCTCATATCCTCTTTTTTACAATGATTAAATATATTGTTTTTATCTTTTAAAAAAAGAATATCTACATTTGCAAATGTTTTCCCTTATATAACACTATTTGAACACGGTGTTTTTACATCTCCGTAAAACAAGTTGGTCATGTGACCATGAATTGATTGTTTAGTAATAATCGATCTACGTAGTTTGATACTGACGTCATAAGCGATCGACGTTATAAACACATTCCGTTGAGTTTTGAAAAAGAAAACGTTATGAGTTTCAAACTTAAGTTAGTACGTAACTATTTGTAAGAAATAGTCACAAATGTAAATATAAGTAATAAGGTATCATTTTTTGAGTTTTATTGGGATGAAAAACGGGTTGGTACATTATCAAATCTTCCATAAAGCCCTTCCCGTTTCACATCCCAATAAAACTAAAAAAAAACGATACCTTATTTCTTAAATGTAACAAGATATATATTTGTAAGCTAGTAATTTGGAACTTACTTTTGCAAAATTTTAAAATTAACGAGGCCGAGTCTAATTCGAGTGCGCATCACTTTGCGCAGCTTTTTAATTTCATGCAGTCATTTGTGTGGCAGTATACCTTTGAAAATTATTTTGATCTTGATACAAAATTAACATTATCTGCAGCTTCTACTCATCTGAATATGTGATTTTACGACAATAATTGGAAAAAGAACGTTCAAATGGCGCTAACAACATCACCATTTTCGGATTTTGTAAGTCACACATGACGTTGAAGAATGACGCATGACTCGCATGTATGTTCAAGAGGTTTATGGATATTTTACTAAAAAACTCATGACTGAACTTCCCAAGAAACATGCTAACAATATAAAAATTGCTATTTTTACCGAAAAAAATGTATGCGCCCATAATTCATCTGCGAAGATATGTAATTTTATACCGTAATATTGCAATTTCAGAGGTATTGAGCATCGAAAAAATAAACTTAGTAATTACTTCCTAGACCAACCTAGATGGTGAAATTTTTTGAAATTTCACAATTTGGTGACTTTTTACATTAACTTTCAACTGCTTGAATGAAAAAGAAATCCCTAGGCAGAAATACAAAAAATATCGGGAAAATGTGATAATTTTGCGATTTTCCAACAAATTCCCATAGGGTCTAATAGTAAAATTTAACAATTTTTGAGATGGCCCCCTAAGAAATCGGGGTGGTAAACATTCAATTTTTTTAAATCCTAAAACAATAAATATAACAATAAAAATTAATTATCGAAAAATTATCAAAATCCTTAGGGCAGAAATATTTAGACTCGGCCTCGTTAATTTAAGTTTTGGTTTTAAATTGAAAGTTCATAAGTAAAACGGGCCTCTGAGGGATATTCCCTGAAACAGAGCTTTTCCCTGAGAGTACTACCACATGAAATTTTTTTACGAATTTCAACTAATCAAAAAAGTAAAAAAAAAAGTACAATAAACTATTTTAAAGTTATGGATATCTTCAGTTCGGTAAATATCGGTAATCTAACGGTTGAACGATTTTCGTACCATAACCGGAAGTCAAGTTTGAGTCTGCTAAACAGAAATCAAAAATTGCATGTTTAACAAAACATTTGGCAATATTTTGGGAGTTTTAAGAGTTTACACTGTTCATCTTAAGTAAAGCAGCAATATTTCAAAAAATAAAATCTCCTTTCGTTTCCCGTTACGATGCTAAGGCTTCTCGAAAATGGCTTAAGTAAGCATTTCCATTGCTCCAACTGGAAAATCTCAAAGTAAAGGTAATGGAGAGTTGATGATTCAAAAATACACTGCGCCTCAACGGGGTCTTATGTATCATATGCATAAATGATAGTCCTTGGACCGGAAGTCCAAGGGTTTCTCCAATGCGCTAAGTTAGAGAAAATTCGACCTTATCATCTCAAAAACAGGCATTTAAAAATGGCAAAGAATAATTCCTTCGCTTAGATCTCGACATTGATTAACCTATTGTATCATAAAAATTAAGCTGCAATTGTTGTTAAGGACAGTCTTGCACGTTGTAATTGAATGGCTGGGAGTGGGGTGTTTTAACAGTCATATGTTACTTAGTAAAGTTAAAAGATATACATTTAACATTTTTATCATATCCCTGATGTTCTGAAAAGTGAGTTTAGCTTTTCTGTATTCTTTTTTGAAAATCATTAGATAAAAAATTCAAACATTTGTAGATTACTGCTTGTTGCGTTTCTTTTGCGTGTCAGTTTATATGACTTTATTTTTACTTTTGATTAACACATCCGAATACCTAATTAAAAGAAAAAATCTATGATTGCATCGGTCCACCTTCGCCGCCTCGGGAAATAATTTCCTCCCTCGGTTAACCATAAATTTTCCATTTTGTTTTCAATTCCATTCCATTAGTGTATACTATACCTTGTATTGCTTGGCATTTGCCATTGATATAATTATAAAACATATCTTGTATAGCTCATCAATTGATATAATTATAAAACATACCTTGTATAGCTCACCGATTTATATAATTATAAAACATACCTTGTAAAGCTCACCGATGACGTCTAATGACAATGGAACGTTTAAATCCAGAAGAGCTTCCAAGTAATCTGTTCTATTGGTCAGAAGGGCAATTTTCAACAACTCCTAAGATATAAAAAAAAACATAATTATTATACTCACGAAAATGATTTTACCTGTTACAGGGATTCGGAGTTTATCTGAGTGACACATTTTGGAACAAATATCAATCTGTTTTACATATATTAGGCGAATCTTGAATACTTTATTACTATATTACTGACTTAAAAAAAATAATCTGAATATTAACTAGTAATACTAGGAAGGATCTTCATATATTTTTATCAAATGAAATAGATTCCACTTTACGAAAATTTTGATTGCTTTAACATTTATTTATATAGCTGAAGGTATGATTTCCAGATTTCTTTTAAATTTAGAGTTAAAAAGGTAAATTGTTACCAATGTGATAGGTGATAGGTAAATTGCTACCTGTGTGATAGTTTTTTTGGTCTTTAAGATACATGTGTACCTACCTGTGCCCCTTTTTCCACTTGCTCCGAGGATGTTTTGTTCCTCTTAAGTTCTAGAAACTTGGAGAATCGAAAGAAGAGGTCAAGCGGAAGTGAGAATGGTGAGGAGAAGGTCTTGAAGTCTAGGGTTTCAAGTGTCTCCGCCATCCTCCACGGTTTCTTCTCCCACGTCCACTTGTCTGCCATTGCATAGGAGCTCTTACGATTCCGTGCTTTGTTCTTTGTATCCCAATTGGGTTCTTTTAAGTAAAAGAATCCTTATAATACACTGTACTATATTTGTCTCAGAGACAACACTGTAAGTTTAATTGAAAGAACAACTGTACGTATCCTTGAAGTCTTTCTTTAATACTGTATATTATTTGGAAATTCGTTCTCAAGCAGATTACATGTATAAATTTTATGTTCTTGGTATCTTGATGTTTAGGTTACGAAGAAGGGTAAAATGCGCAAATAACGAAGCGTGAATTTTTACAGAACCTTCACTTATTTCTAAGACATTAAAGAACTTTATATCACATTGGAATGCATGAAATGAAAATTGGTGCAAGGAAAAAAATTTGATTTTTGGCCTCATTTTAAGACTTTTTGATTTTTTTTAAATAAAGTTTTATGTTTTCATGCCAAATAACTGATCAGCTTTTTGGGGTTTTCGGATTTAAGAGGACCAACAATATCAGTAAAAAAGAAAATTTTATATACTGAATAGGGGTCAGAAAGTGGAATTCAAATGTAGAGTATAATATTTATACATCTTTAGCAAAACATTGCAATTTGACCCCCAACACCCCCCCCCAAAAAAAAAATTGTAATACGATGTACATAGAAAATAATTCTGCTTCAAACGACTGGAAAAAGAATTCAGATTTTTTTTTTTTACTAAACACAAAAAGTACAAAATCATAAACAAGCTTAATTATAATCATAATAATGTCTAACTGTTACCTAAGGTATGATTCTTGGAGGGGCCCGTGTTTTCTAATAATCTGGATTTCTGCACCAGTTCACCAACAAGTGCTGCGAATTGTTCTTCATTTTTTTCGACAAGGTCAAAATGATCAATCTACATGTATGTTAAATAAAATATTTATTAAAAATCGAGCTTTTGAAATACCCAAGGTGGAAGTCATTTCCAAGGAATACCGTCCTTTAAATTAGCAAAATATCTGTATCATATCTTAACTTAGCAACATACAAACTGATGTAGCACTGCACAAAGATATACTTTTTATTGCGTTACAAATTTGTTTGAAAGTCAAGTTTAGACTGTATGTTATGATACTCTTTTTTATTGCTAGAGATAAGGAACACTAAAACAAACTTAATTTCATTCCCTTACTAAGTAAGATCTTTCCAAAATAGTTTTCAGACTTTCTTCCAATGTTTCAATCTCATGATCGGTGTCATCCAGCTCAATACCAAACAGAACAGGAAGCAGCGTTCTTATTTCCATATTACTGTCCTCCCTAAAGAGATATCAGATAAACTAACAAAGATTTGAGGAGAACATTGCATGTAAAAATTTCAAAAAAGAAAAAAAATTTAAATCAAGAAAAATTATATCATTGTTCTTAAAATAACTACTGCTTTTATTAAAAGTTTCATTTTGCATTAATTTTAAATGTTAAAAAAAGGAAACACATACAAACAAAACAAATCATTCTAATGCATATCAAAACAGAATATTTATTACAATTCTGAATTATTTCTAAAATATCATTTACAATTTATGAAATATATAAAAATAATAAAGAGCATTCAAGCTGAAAACATAATTCAAATAATGCAAATAAAGAGCAAACATGGACTTCCAAAACATCAGTGGCGGGATCAGGTACCATGGAGGAGTGAAAATCCCCTGCTGACAATTATACCCGCCATATGCTCCTTGTCAAGATAGGGAAATAACAGAAAATCCGTCGACAATTTGGTGTGTAAAAATGGTTTATCGATTCTTATGAAAAACGTCAGTCAGCATTTGTCTAAATTATATATTCTATTTGCTGAAAACGTCACTGTAGTGATAGATTGTATTTGGTGACGAGGTCATTGTATCGACCATATAGTATGTATGTAATATGATTCACAATAGAAGTTTTATACGGCGTTTTTTTTTTCATGCATAGGATTAACATTATGACAGGCAGTTCATATGAGATCAGATACATGTATTAGTGTTTTTTATAAATAGATATTAATAATTCATCAAGTAACGTACATGGCAATGGTTATGAGATCCGCCAGCCCGCCTGTTCCTTTCATAAACACGACAGGGATTCCATTCTCAGTGGCTAGCTTGACATGGTCCACAGCCGACAAATCGCCTTCCACCAGAATTAAAACTAAGGCATTCCTTTCTGAAAGCAACAAAAGGCAAATATGACACAAATTATTGGACTATCAATGAAACTTCCTTAGAATATATTCAACCATGAATCAAAGTAGCAAGGAGGACAGTAAAGGCATTTCATAATGTGACCCTCATGCATAAAAATATATGTGGAGATAAACAATATTCGAGCTCTAATTCTATTTAACAATACAAAATTGGAGCAGAGCAAACACAGACATCTAAAATATCAGAAATGACATTAACTGTGTTAAAAAAAACTAAATATTTAATTAAGTATATTAACAAAGTTTTGATTCCATACTAGTAGTAGTGACTGACTCATACTTTCTGCTTTAAAACAAGACGAGAACAAACAGTAATCAATCGAAAAAAAAATACATATTTGTGAGCATGACATTAAGCGGAACCTGGGAAATTTCAGTGGTGGAATCAAATGCCTAAGAGTAGTAAGAATTCTCAGTCGACCGGTCAAACCCCTGTCCACAACTTATTGATGAATAAAAGGGAATATTGGGATAACAGCCGAGGCCTGAGAAGTGGTATATTTACAAGTCAGTCAATAAAAGACCAAGTGAATTGTTATATTTGCTAGAATAGTGGTAAAATGTTTCAGGTAAATTACATACCAGCTACGAATTAAGTTTATTTTTTTTGTAAATCAAAGATAAAAAAATTATAAACGTATAAAAATGCAAAAGTTTCGTTGCTTTTACCAGAATGTATGAATGGAATTAGTTTTAACTCTCCACCCCACATAAATTACTAAGAATAAAAATCTCCTTAACATCTTTCTTATGAAGCAAGGTTTGGTACACGATTGATTGATTGTATGCTGTTTTACATTCCATTGATACAACCTTCGAACGTCGGTCTCTCTAAAGTCCTCTCGAGCTCAGCCCTAAAATCAATATAGTCTTCATCCGCGGTACGAGCGGGGAGCTTGCAAAAGAAACTGTCGTCTGCATAAAACTAGAAAGAAATAACTACAACTTTACAAGTCAATAACAAAAAAAACTATTAATTGCGTTTTTCATCATATTGGATATACAAAGATTATACTTTTAAAGGAAAGAAAGAAATTTATTTCATATTTATTTAAAATTCAATGTATGGAGATAAAGAACTGAAATCAAGCTCAAAAGTCCAACAAACAAAACAAAACAGGAGCAGAACAAACATAGATTTCCAAAACGCCACAGGTGAGACTAGGTCCCATTAAGGAGCGAGCATTTCCTACCGACCGGCCACACCCGCCGTGGGCTCTTTGTCATGATCGGGAAATAACGGAACAAAATCATCAACAATCCATTGGGCAAATTATGGTCTAAGAACTAGCATGAAAAACGTTAGTCAGCATTTGACTCCATGATAAATTGTATATATCATTGTACCGTCCAAAGAACTTACGAAAAGATGAATTTAAACGAGATGGCGAATAGTCTTGTTTCATCAACTTGTCTTGTCAATAATTTAATTCTTTTCAGAAATAGTACATACGGTGGGCATGCTTGCTGATGCATTCATTACCACATATAACCTAATTCAAGTGTATTTTTTTTTAATTTTCCTGTTCTTGAAAAGTGATGGCTAAATGAATGTGATACAGGTTGTGTTTTCAAAAAAAGATTCAGTTTTCTTAACGGCAGGAAATATTTGGAACGTTAAAACTGTTTGTCGCATATCTGCGGTGATTTTCTTTGATCTTTCTGTTGTGATATATCCCATATCACATATGCGATAATACTTTTCACGCCCCTTCATATATCACTGCAGGAAGCAGAAATCAGGTAACTGATTTTATTTCACAAGTTCATAACCACAGAAAAATGAACATGTATAGCTATTTCTTAGCCTTTAACTAATTTATAATAAATGTATTTAACTCGGTTGAAAGTTCCCAGTCGTTCAAAAGATTAATCCATTTGGAAAATATGAAAGTTACGGTAAAATCTCCAAACTTTTTTATCGTTAAACTCTTTGCTATTTGTTTCCGTGATTTCACATATGTCGAGTGCCTGGTTTAAAAATAAATTGTCAAAATCTTCAAACTCATTTTAAAAAAAACCCAAAGTGATATTCACTAAGAACGTCCGACATGTTGGAGAGCTAGCTTGAAATGAATCTTTTTTTTTATTATTGAATTTTGACACTCTCAGTGAAATTTACGTCATCAGACATGCGACAATTGCTCTTTAGAACCTCTTTTAGAATTATTTTAAACTATGAATAACATAGCAAACTGAATTACTAAAGAAATAAGTTAAAAATGGCCTCAACGAATACCAAATCAGAAGAGTATACATTTAAATATAAGATCTAGTTGATAAAGGCTTCGGACAATTTGTCTTACAATATGTAAGAGGTTCACGGCGAGATACTTTAGACTTGGTGCTGCGTAAAATTAACAGTACTTTATATAGTTCAAAAGGGAAAAATCGATAATTTTCTTAAAAAACTTCCACCACAAAATATAGTTCCTGGCTTAATCCTACTTGAATGGAATTTAATTGGGGTTTTTACAATTGATATATTTCAATTTGCATTGTAGAATGTAAATTTTATAATTGTTTGTGACTTTTATACCCTATTAAAATATGTAGGTACCTGAAAATTACTTGTTTACAATTTATTTAACGCAATATATTTTCCGCCCAAAATCTCAGACAGAATGAGCTGGTTAGAAAATGGCCTTCAGATGTAAGATTCCGAGGTATATAAGAAGCGTAAGGAGACGTGAATCGAGGCTCTTCCTTGAAGGAGTGTCTCGGTCCTTACCTCGGCTTCCTCGTCTTTGCCCTGGCCCTGGCCTTCATCTCTATTGCTCTGGTTTTCATCAAATTCTAGCACCTCTGGTAGATCGAAGTAGAGACCCGTGTCCTCCACAGGCTTAGATGGGACGGAGATCAGTCGGAGGTTCGGACGGGCCGGCTTCTCTAGGTAGATGTATTCCTCCATCATCTCCCGGACTATTTTAGAGACCTTTAGTGGCTCCCCCTTGCTGAGTATCAGGCAATCTGTTGATTTCAGCGTGTGGAAAAATGTATTTTTTTTCTATTATTCCTTATGACCGTGTTATTTTGACCTTAATATGCTTGTATTGTATATAAATCACATAGATCAGTCTAAATTATAGTTACAAAATGACTTTAACAGAGGATGGCAAAGTAGTTATATTGACAATGTTTAAATATAGGTTATGGGTATTTTCTTAATCTATAAAATGAATATTTATACAAACTCCCTGCGGCTTTTGCAGCATAGGTCAATGATTGCTGGAATCGTGACTTGGGCCACGGCTTTGGAATCAGATTGTCGGAGTCCCCTATGACGGAGAAAATCATGTTGGGCTGGGACTTGGAGTAGACTTTTGTCACGAAGGACTTTATTTGTTTTCTCCAATTGTTCCTGTCCATTTCCACCACTTTACCATTCCTATAATTTGCAACATGTTGAAATTTTTGGCATACAAGAATATGACTGCAGTGCAATTTATAGAATGTTGCTATAACTAACAGTGGTCATGCTCAAAAGTCAATTAAGCAATACATGTACATATTGAGAACAGAGAGAATATGGATCCTGAAATCATAGCTGGAATCATGGAAGTATATCCAGTCAACTGGTCACGTGCCTCTTATCATAGAATAGTAAGCGAAAACACGGAGGTTTTGTTTAATTTGTTCTATTCTTTGATTTACAGATATTGTTCCTCAAACATAGTGTCAAATTTGAATCCCACATCATTTGTCATTCAAAGGTATTCAAAATAAATCAATTGATTAAGCATTAGATAGAACAGGAAAATCATGGACATGGGGTCAAAATGCATGCATTAGCATGTTTGAACATATCTTGTTACAAGTAATACACATGTCAAATATGAAAGCCCTTTCTCTTTTCATTTAAAAGTTATTAGGAGAAAAATAACAATTAAAATTGGTAAAACTTCAAAGCAACGGGATCAAAAATCAGAAGATGATTGGAAAGGTCTTCTCACAGGTAATGTACATGTGAAATATGAGAGCTCTATCTTTTCTCATTCTAAAGTTATGAGAAAGGTTAAATTTTGTTTTATGACAGACGATCAGACGAATGATGTTTTATGTACTTTCGCTTTCACGATAGCGAGGTAAAGAAATGCATATTAGGGGTATTATGAAAATGTTGAAATGTAAATGAAAACGTGAATGCTAAAACGTTTTGATTAAAACAACAGTAACTTACCTCGTTTCGGCCTTGTAGATAGGAAGTTTTAGAGTATTTAGGTATTTAAGGACAGCTGATGTCACGTGGTATATTGTCGTGGTCTTTTTTTCCAATAAAACAATACATTGTTTTGGAGGGGAGTGGTCTCCTGATTCACATCAGTTTTTTCCGACATAATCGCGAAATAAAGTCCGGTATCAGCTATTTTGAATCTCAGTGATCTAACGATAATGAAACGGGAAATACACAATAATCAGCTACTTACAGCTCACTTTATTTCCCTGTCTAGAAATGACTAGTATTTGCTGTTGAACTGTCTGTCAGTTTGTGGATGCAATTTCATTTACATTATTTTGATTTGTAATACGTAAATTCTGTTGGGCTAAAATCTTTTTAGCCTTTGGTTCACATGTTTAGCGGAGTCTCCATATGAATTCAAAATTCTCGAGAGGGACGTTAATCAACATACAGAGAGATATACGTCTAGCGTCTAATATCTGTACACAAGAAATGAATAAATTATGTTTTATGATCTAATTTCAAAAAATGACTTAACCATATGAGAAAAAACTTTGGATACTATGGTACCCTTCCCACAATTCTGATCACAAACTCTCTATGAAGAGAAAATAGAATTGTGGGAAGAGTGTCAGACTATATGTGTACTTTCAGGGAAGTCGTTCAATCCGCTTTATAATATGTTTATGATTACAATGGTGCTACCAAGGTATTTGCCTATATTCAATTTCAATTTTTAAGCCAGCATCCTGACAGCGAATAAGGTATCTCTGTAAACTAAGAATAATGAACGCTGATCTATTGAATTTTTTTCCCTTAATGTACGAAATAGGATGAGTGATCATCTTGGACTAAGAATAGATTTCATATTGAATATAAATAAAAGAGGGTCAGGATATTGGAAAATGAACACATCTAATTTATTAAATAAAGAATATACTTTTAAACTCAGAAAAATTCTTAAAGAAAAATTTTCTGAATTAAAAGAACTAGTTTGTCCGCACGAGCGCTGGGAAACTTTGAAATATTTAATAAAAGAATTTTCAATAAACTTCTCTAAACAAAAAAGCAGAAGCTTGAAACAAAAAGTTTAAATGATAGAAAGAGAAATCAAATGCATTGAATATCGACCCTTTTATGAAATAAATAACCAAGAAAAACAAAACATTGAAAAAGAATTAAACGAGATTTATGAGAGAAAATCACAAGATGCATACATCAGATCTAGAGCTAACTGGATCAAATATGGAGAGAAGTGTACACCATATTTCTTGCATTTAGAACATAAGCGGCAACAAAATTAAGTGATTGAAAAAATAATTGAAGAGGGAAAAACGTCATATTACAATAATGAAATTTTTGGATCACTATCTAATTTTTATGAAAATCTTTATACATCTAAAAAGCCTCAAAAAGAAGAAATCACATGCTATATTTTGGAAACAGAAATTTCCTCAAAATTGACAGACAGTGAAAAAAGTTATTGTGATGATATTCCCACTTTGAAACAATGTGAAGAAGCTATCAGAAATATGAAAAAAAAATAAATCACCAGGACTAGACGGGATACCAGTAGAGTTTTATAAATTATTTTGGAATGATATAAAAACATACTATTACGATGCCTTATTAAAATCATTTGAGGTTGAAGAGTTAACTACGACACAGAAGTTGTCAATTATAAGTCCCATTCATAAAAAGGTTATAAATCTTTTCTAAAAAATTATAGACATATAAGTCTGACTAACTGTGACTATAAGATATTCGCATTTGTATTCGCTAGAAAACTACAAATAGTAATTTCTAAACTCATTAACAATGACCAATCAGCTTATATAAAAGTTAGATATATTGGACGTAACGCCAGATTAATTCAGAATTTTTTTTTATTATTGTGAAGATTAAAATGAAAACGGAATTCTTCTTTTCTTAGACTTTGAAAAAGCATTTTTCGATACTATTGAATGGTTTTTTATGTTTGAAACATTAAAAGCTCTGAATTTTGGACCAAATTTTATGAAATGGATAAAAATACTATATAAAACCCCCAAAGTTAGAGTAAGAAATAATAGATTTATTTTTAAAACATGTAAATTGACCAGAGGCATACAACAAGGTTGCCCAATATCTGCTTTACTATTTATTATAACAGTAGAAATATTAGTTGTACGCATTAACTCTTCGGAGGATATACCACACGGTTTTAAAATTGAACATAATAATGAAATTAAGATGCTACATCATGCAGACGATTCTACAAATTAAGGCAGTACAGTTAAGGTGCGCAATGGAAATATCGACTGAATTTTGTATTTAAAAATGTATTCGTAATCGGGATGGCGATTAATTTTAGTACATTATTTATATCGGATAATTGTAATTATGATTAACAACTACATATCGAGGACGATTATATTTTATATTAAGACTAGTCACGTGATGGGCAGTCACGCGATTTTAGCACATTGACTTGAAGTATTGATGTTACATATAAATATCACTAGTGCAAGGGCATAACCAAGTTAAATTTCCAAGTTTAGTATATAAATATTTTCAACACGCATTGTAGTTTCTAAAAAGTGCTGCGATCCTGTCTAAATTCTGTAATTTCATTGTTAAATTTATACTTGTATGACCGAATGCTATATTATTTGCTGGTCAGAAGCATGAAATATTGATATAATTAAATTGTTTTTAAGATTTCATCAGGATCACAGCACTTTTCAGATACCTTAATAGTTCTAGAATTGAAATGCAAAATCTTACTTTGATCCATAGAGTGTATGCCCTTGCACTAGATCGATTTATTAAGACCCCCCGCATTACCCTCCGATGTACTTGCATACAAATGTACGGCAGTGTCAATTAAATACGTAATGTACAGAAAATATATTAATAAACTAGTGAAGAAGACATTAAATTCAAGTTATTGGCCCATAGGATATATGTAAATTATATTTTATTTAATTAGAGAAAACATATTTTGTTGAGAAAATATTACTTGATCTGTCTCTCACTGCATACAAACTACGTCACGTTGTAAGAAATGACGTCATATTGACAAGTGTATTGCGATCAGTGACTTGTTTATAACTTGTTATGTGGGATTTAACTAACGACAAAACAACACGCTGTAGTAAGTTTTTATGTAGTTTGATGATTTCTTACTGGTTAAATTAGCATGTAATTTCATTTTGTGGTATTTTAATGAAATAATGTATGACGTATATTGTGTATGATGTCATAGTCAAGTTTTCCCGTACAAATTAGGCTCCGCCTCCTTTTTGTAACCTTAACTGTGCTGCGAATTCTCTTAGAGATATAGAATCTGAAAAACATGCAATTAAAGTGTACAAAATTTTTCGAAAGTAGCAGGACCAAATCTTAATATTGATAAATCAGAATGTTTATTACTTGGACCACTGAGAAATACGTGCAATAGTATAGAAGGGATAAAAGTTACCAACGATTCAGTGAAAACATTAGGGATATTTGTAGGACACAACAGAAGATTATGTTTAGAAAAAAAATTGGCAAGATAAAATAGATAAAATGACACAGATTTTAAAATCATGGGAAAAGAGAAAATTAACAATTTTTGGAAATAAAGAAATAATTAACACATTGTGTATTTCGAAATTGCAATATAATGCAACCATTCTTTCCAATCCACCCGGGGAAAATATTAAACAAATAAATAAACTAATCTTTAACTTTGTATGGAACAGTAAAGACCGTATGAAAAGGAATACGCTTATTGGGGATGAAAAACAAGGAGGTATTAAAATTATAGACATTGAATCTAAACTCAAGGCATCCAAGGCATCTTGGACTCCAAGGCTACTAACTACAAATTATAGTCTTGTATCATTCTTAAACTACCAATTCAATAGAGAAACATTATCATTAGAATACATTCTAAAAAACAAATCTAATAAATGTACTTGACTACAAAGAGCTAAAAAACATTCCTATCTTCAATAAAGAATCAATTTGTGCATTCAATGCGTGTAAAATGATTAAAGATTTTTCAATGCTATTCACAGACGAATTTTTATCTTTACCAAAAAACAAACTTTTTGCACATAAAAACAAGGATATGGAGATAACGAACAGTATTCAATCTCAAAGTCCATTAAACAATATACAAAATAAGAGCAGAGCAAACACGGACCTCCGAAACATCAGAGGTGGGAT